CTGGATATTCAAAATTACTTAAAGATCCTGTAACTCAATTACTTTTATGATTTAATACCATAAATATAATGCACAAATGAAGATTTATTAATATTGCAAGTTCCAAAAAGCGTTATTTGTAAAGATATTACCAAAATTACAATTCATGTTAATATGGGGAGGTAATTAGAAATTTAATTTCTATAAAGTTTAAGTTAAATTTTTCTATAAGAAATGAATGCATATATTTTAATGCTTACATATAATATGGACAAATATTTGCAGTACATATTTTACATATTCTTCGATGTTTGAAAATTGTTTTAGAAGCATTATTACATACATACAGTATATAAAATTTCACTTAAGTGTGGTAACAACCTTAATTACAACATAAACGAATAAATTACAGGAGTCTTCTCATCTCTTAGCTCTAGCAGGTCAGTTGATTTTGCCCTTGGTGTAGTTTTAAGTTTGTAACACCAAAGGTTAGCCAAAATAATGTTTTCTTGTTTTGGCGTCATATGGCTTAAAATGTGTTGCTGCGCCGTAAAACCAAAACAAAACAAATGTTAATTTCTATAATTTCCAAAATGCCTATTGTTTTAATGATAAACTGATATCAAACCAATGTTGGTTTTCTTTTTGCTGGGTCATATGGGGGTTGCGTTCATTGAACACCGCCTTTCCTTGTTGATGTTGTTTTAATCCTGAAGTTTGTTTGTTAAACTTGATAAAAAGTTTGTCAAACAAATATAATTTGTTGATACAAGAAAATATTATTATTCCACCAAATGAACATATAAGAATATTTTTTTGATAACTTTCGGGATTCCTCTATTTTATAATATTTGATAATTCCGCCTACAGAAACATAATTCGTCAACATTTATTCTATGTTAAAACATAAAAAGTGAGAACAGATGATCCTCTAAGTGAAATGAAACATTTTGTAAAACTCAAACTTATTGTTAACTCTGTTCTTTAATCTTAGATACTAGCCTTAGTAGGAAGATTTGCACCCAGAGAAGTATTTCATATATTATATATGTAAAAAACAAATGGTCCTAATTCTGCTTAAACATGTCGCAAAACAATGACAATATGCGCTAGATCTTTTGATGATGCTTTTGTAACAGTTCAGTGAAAAACGCTTGTTTTGTGCTTCTCTGATTTGTTAAAAAACAACAACAACAAAGGGCAGTAATTATACAAAACGTACTATGTTTGAATCATTATACCCAGGCAGTATGCGACAGGATTCTTCATCGTGAAAGTTAAAATAAATTGAGAAATTACAGTTGCGTACAGAAGAGATTGTTTAGCCCGCCCGCTGCCGGCCTTTATATCCCAACCTTCTTTCGGATAACATTTTTAACAAGAATTAAAGTTAACACTTTATAACATATCTAATATTGTGTCTGTAATACGCATGGATATATCTTAACAATGGTTTACTAAAGCAATTGATCATTGTAGACATATCTATCAGCTAGAAAAGACCGTATTCGAAATTTCTATATAATTGAAATAAATGAAAACCAAATGAAAACATCCATGTATTCCAATTACTATCATAATTTGAAGATGACGTTTCCATAGAAACAACACTGGAGGAAGCCTTGAAATTGCTATAAAATAAGATATTAATAACTGTTCGCATTAAGCCGAGGTTACGCTAATTCCAATTTCCCTTTCATGTTTCCTTTATCTTACATAGGAAAATTATATATTTATACTTCATTAACGATACTTTCTTTCCATTAGAACATAAAAGCTGAGCACATAAACTCTTTCTCATGTCCTTATGGTCATTAGCTTTTATATAAATCCGAAACGTTTATTTTTGTTCAAAGGAACTATGAAATTAGGTAAATTATGACTATAGTGGTCTGGTTTATTACATACTAACATTCCTATCCAAGGATTGTGATGATCAATCTGCAAATCTATATTAAAAAAAGAATTCCATATGTCACGTCGGAGCATTATATGTTCATTGTGTGGAGTGGTAAGGTGAAATCTTTCGAAATGTTAGTGGATTAAAAAGGGGTGGTGGGGTTGAACACAGTGTCACCGTGACGATAACAATTGATTGTATGACCTACAACACATATTGCCAATTTGGTCAACTTATTATAGGCTAATTATTTCTTAGGTTAACTAGCGTACAAAACTGTAACATAACCTGGTACTGAGACCTTGAACTTTGACTTCAAAGAGTTATCTACTGGTAAATGACAATGTCTTTCTGTGGTTTCAGAAACCTAAGCTGATTCCTTATTAATTTTATTATTGGACAAGGATATTAAATAGTTTTATAGTTTATACAAATTTATTTTAGTTCGATTGTGTTGGAAGCTATAAGCTTATTGAAACACTCTCGAATCCGTTCCTGGAACCAACCAGTACTTAGCAAAGAATTAAAGTTTCTTGCTCAAGGAGACAACGGTTTGGCCCTGACAGGGTTTGAACCCACGCGATCAGCAATTCTAAGATTACTAGTCCTAGGATATAAAATGACCCTGTGACCTTTACCTTTGGCCCATGACCTCCAAATTAAATGAGATTCTTCAAGTTTAAAGTGCAGCTTATATTCTCAAGTTTCATAAAGTTGTTATTCTTTTTAAATATGTGTTCCACTTCTCGACTGAATGAGCAATGTTTTGTTTACGTTATTTAATTCTAGCTCATTTGTGCCAAACAAAGTAAATATCATACCTAAAAGGAGAATAGAGTACACTGACAGCGTATCATTATCATTTATAGTTTTTATATCAACCAAAAGTTATTTTAATTTTTAAATCTAAAATGCTTACAAATTAAGCAACTACCTATTTCAATATATACTATTTAAATTTAAAAAGGAAATTTTAATAACCACTAAGGGAAGAGAAATTATTAAGAGGAATGGTTTTACACACATTTAGGAAGCTGCTTTGGTTATGCTTGAAATAATAAGCATTGAACGATTCGGCATGACTTTAATACCAGACTTTCTCCTCTCGAATGTTTTCTGTAATTAATGTGTTTCTGTTGAATGTCTAAGGTCATTAAATTCCCATACTCGGAACAAATATATTATTCTTACGAGCTAGTAGGTACAAGTTTCATTTCATATTTTTTTAAAATTTATATATTTATCTTATTATTTTACTTTAATATTTGATCAAATTATCGAAATTATCCAATGGTCCACAATATGCCATGTCTTTATTTAAATTTCTAATTATTATAAATTATTGAAGAATTAAAAATATGCCAAAATTTATTGGATATTTGATTAATTTAATCACAGTTATATGTTTTGATAATCTTCTAAATGTAAAATAGACTTCCTAAAAACGCCAAAAACTGCAAATTAAAAATAATAATTTATTATTATTTTTTTTATTGCAAGCTACCGTCTACGCACTCTGGGCATGTACTGCTGTTCATGGAATGGCAGGAAGGTGTCACATTGGAGGTTCAATGATAACAGCCGTATGAACACATCTGCAGATGTTTCTTAATTCGCAATTTCACCATTTTCGCGTTAAATGTAGAATTCTGTTTAAGCCGGTGCAAGAGGGCGTGGACGGTAACTTTCACTTACAGTACCGTCCATGAGCAGGCTCGGTCAAACCGACATTTTTAATCTTGTCATGTTTGGGCGTTCTTATGTTATTCCTTTTGTCTTTATTTTATTATTTCATGCCGTGCGACTCCTACTCTAAATTGAAATTGCTACTCGCCCGGAACCAAAACATAAAAGTGCCTGTTTAGGTGGTCACTACATGTCATACTCTGAGAAATGGTCCCTAATCCTACTTTACAATTAATTGTTCTCGCTAAAGAGATATTTTTGTAGGAGAATAGAATGCTTGAAACATTAAATGATCTTGTTATATAGGGGTAGCCAACCAAATAGTTTTGCAAAATGACTTCAATGAGGATTACCACCTTTCTATTGAACTTTTTCTGCAGATCACAGGACTGACCTACACTTATTTGACTGCAAATATCCAAGTCATAAATTAACATAGAAACTTTATTTTCTTAAGAAAACAATAAAGTCTTAGTTTCTAAATTAGTTTTTATACTTAAAGAAACATATTCATTCAATCACCTCATTGTGGTTTTCCCTGCACATTTTTCAGCCAATCGCCGGCCATGTTACAATACGATACTCCGAAAAGTAAGATTTTTCATTTCTCTCTATTGTCATTACGGATTGTTGCCGTTTATGTTATCTTGGAGTATTCAACCGTTATATTATTGAGCCGCCTTGTTTTTAAACAAATGTGGAAATTATATCTATTAAAAGAAATGTCCAATTCGTGTTAAAAGATTAAATTATACTGAGAATTGAAAGGATGAGTTTACATAATAAGTAAGCATGAATGATATGTAAGGTCATCATTATAGATGATTCTATTTTGCAAATGAATATGCATAATCAATAAAGTAAAACCATTTTTATACATTCACGAAATAAAACGCATTATACATTTCACAGTGCTTTAAGTTTTAAATATAATGCCGATATTAATGCCAAAGGTCAACGTGATTAATCATACCTTAGTTGTAAAGTTTTTTTTCTGAAAAGAGATGTTTTAATTATAAATTTACAGTATAGTACCGATCAAGCAGGAGCTGATAAATATTTGTGTTTACAGTTAATATATGTCGTTTATCTTGTAAAAGTTTAACTAAAGCGTGAAATGAATAAATGCCAAGTTTTCTGTAATTTGTATTTCCATTTAATACCAAAAGTTTTGTAACCGTCATCTATCTTAACATTTTCAAGTATTAATTGTATAATGCAGACTGTAAAATGTTAAAGATAACTTTTAAAGAATGTTCTAAATTGGATGAAATATAAAACAAATATGATAAACAAGATCAACAAGAAAAAGCGGCGTTCAAAGACGCAACCCCATACATACATGTCTAGCAATTGTGTGATAATTGTATTTATCTTATTTGTTCCAAACTAATGTCATTCTCGTAATATTTAAAATGAAGAAACAAATGATTACCTTGGTAGATCTTTTAATCCGTATCTAAATTCTGGCATGTCTTTCACTATAAACCTTTTTATCTCATCATAACAAACTAAGTCATATCAGCATGTAAATCACTTGTTATATGAATAGGTTTTTAAACACCAATTTAACTCCATTTTCCTGGTTCAACGATTCGGAAAATTGTGCAGTTACAGAAGTAATTTCGTGTTTGATCTAGCTTGATCGTTATAATTAGTTTCTGTCTACATGATATCAATAGTCGTAAAGACTGATAACATTTACATAATTTACATAACGGACAAAAAAAACATATGTTCAATGGGATGTCGTATTTATGCAATTATTCCTAAATGTTATTATACCCAGTGCGTATAATATCAATCGCTAATAATTTGTATTAAAATGACATTTGAATAAGTCCATTCAAATGAGACATTCAAATGAATGAAAACAATCTTTACAATATTTCTATTGACTAAATGCTTAAGGCTAGGAACAAAACAAATTATATTTATGTACAAGAATGACCTTAGGAAATAAATATGACAATAAATTTAAACTATTAAAAAAACAACATTCTTTTAGAATATGCGGTTAATATTTTTATAATGATAATGATCTAAACCTAAATGTGTTCTTCCCGCTGATAGCAGAATTAAATGAATTTCATGTTATAATAGTTCAAATAAATAAAAGGTTGGCCTTCTGGTTTAAGTCTGTGGCGCCGTTATTTGTCGCAACGCCGCTTAATGTAGCACCTGTCGCTAAATGTCGCACCATTGCCGCTAAATGTCGCAACCGCCACTATTTGTCGCAAAATCGTCTGCCGTTAAATGTCGCAATAGTAACGTTAAATGTCGCACGATTTCCACTTTCCGTTAAATGTCGCAACGCTACCGGTAAATATCGCAAGATGTAAATTCATGTTAAACTAATAGCTAATGATGTTGCATTAGATTTGTCTGTATGTTAGTTATCTGTTACTTATCATTAGTAAAGCAAAAATGAATGAGTTCATATGTAAAAAGGGGGGGGGATTCCAAACAATATGCTAGATTAGTTTGAAGTGTCTTCTAAAATGATTGGTTGAAATAAGAGTTTTCTTATTGGGTTTTTAAATCTATAACTATCATTCATGCCTCTTTGGCTTTTGCACACATACGTGTTTTCATTTAACAACCTATGTGCCAAGGTTTTGAGCTACGGTATAACCTAAAGATAGATCTAAAATACTAGGAAGAATATTCTAGAAAGATTGAATTGAGATTTTATATTGTGTCCGCATTTTCCCTAAATCTTCACCTTTAAAGGTTTTATGATATTGTCACTATCAAATTACGAATAACGATCTTAAAAATGTCATTGATGCAAAAAACCGTTTAGTTCTATTCCTGTTTTTTCCTTTCAATGCAATTTAAATAGTGTTCCAGTCATACACGTACGGTATGTTTAATATGAAAATGGGCGGAGTCAAAAACCATATTTGTATCTAGTTACAACTTTCAGATGTTTTTCTCTGGCAGTCAATAGCTTCAGTTATTGAATTCATTATAAGAAATTAAAATGATAATTGTGTTATATGTTTTCTCAAGACAGTGTATGATGGCGACATTAAATTGAATCTCACTTATGAATAATCAAAATATTATTGCAAACAATTAAAATCTTTGTGAAAAACTTTTATTGTTTTTACTCATTGGTCCCGGCTCGTGAAAATATATTCCATAATTTCACTCACACGAAAAAATATCCTCTTAGTAGCATTTGCCAATAAGGGCATATTTAAGTCAGTGTCATTGACACGTAGGAGATTGTTCAATTTTAAATGTCTTTAATCTTTAACGATTACAGCACTTTTTGGTCCAGGTGTTATTTATTTAAGATACTTTGTAGCATACAACAATTGATTCTATAACGAAATTATGCAATATTCAGGATCTGTTTATATTCATTTTCCATTGGGTTATTTTGTACAATTTTAGTCAGTTTTACGGGTGTTTTTACTTTATTTTTGCATTTTATCTGCTTTTTTCAAAAGTATATCGCATCAACTTGATCCTGTCTATGATTATTACGACAAACTCTTTTTATGTTTTGACGTCTTCGCTATTTACGTCATGTGACGCTGACATAATGTTCTTGTTTATTGTTTATAATTTGTTTATGTACTCTGAAAAAGGCTGTTTAGCCGAAACGTTGGTACATGAAAGTGATGTTGTTTAAGAATTGTAGTTGACTACTCTTTTTTTTACTTTGACATAGTTTCAGTTCGTGAACATTACTTTTAAGTCAAATGCTTGTGCACATAATTATGTTTGTACTTCTCAGTTATTAGCAAATTCGGCCAATAACTGTTTATAAAACATGTCAAATTTCTTTGCCTTACTGTAGAAACGCAAAATTGTGATTGTAAAAAAATGTGTTTTTAGGTAACGATATGAAATAAACAGGAATATAAACTGTACAAAATGTTCAATTTTATCTATTTACCAGTATCTGGAAGAAAGTTACGAATTTGTTGTTTTTGGTTGTGTTGTTTTTGCTATTGTTATTAAACTAATTGTTTTTGATGTTAGTTTTTATGTTATTAGTTTCATTTTTCGTCTGTATGGTATAACAAGGGTTAAATAACTAAAACTATCAGACAAATGACATTTTGGTGACATTAAAACGTTCTGATAAAAAGCAACAGTTGGTATGTAATTTGCCAATAATTTGCATCGTAATTGGGTAATAATACATTCAACACTTTCTAAGCGCACATTAATATGCATTATCATAATGAAGAACCTATCAATGTTAATAGAGGAAGATGAATGGCATTGTAATTTATGGAAGAAGATACAAAAATTAGCGAAATGTAAAAGTAATAATCGTTGAATAGTTAACTATTTCTCTAATGGCGGGACAAATAAGATAATGTTAAATTTTGATATACCCATTAGAAACATCGATACACTAACTAAAATGAACGTTATAAACCCGACACGAATTGTACCCTCCATTTATAACCAGCTTGACTTCAGTAACAGTACCACTTGAACATATTTCTACCGAACAAAAATACTGAGTGAGTTCACAATTCTTAGTCACGTAGTATTAACACAGTAAGAGTAACTCTCACCGACATATGGGAGGGTAATATTACAAAACTGTGAAATATAATTATTGTTTCTGTTGTATTTGGGGCAAAATATTATTTTATCAAAAAGTGAGACGTGATCGCTGATAAAAACAATCGTCACGCTTTCGTTATGTAGGAGTTTTTGAACAAAAAGGTCTGTCTAGGGACATAAACATATTCTTTAAACATTAAGTACGGAAATGTTAAAGGGGCTCCATAAAGTGCGATGACGACTGATTTTCGGTCAATTTGATCATATGTTTTAACACAAATCATTCATTTTATTCGCAAAGACTAGATCATTTCTGGTCATTCTTAGTTACTTTTCTCACATTGCTTGAAATCTTTTGTCTAGGCGAGTTTTACAAAAGACGAAAATATTTATATTTCAATAGTTTTTATTTAATAGCTTGATTTAATCGTATCCAAATCATGTGAATTGTTCCATCAATAAAATGCACGTTTCATAGCAATACACGTGATATTCAGAAATATTCCAATTATCGTGACACATAATATTTGCTAGGAACGTAGAATAATTGCGCATGAATATTTGCAAATTACAAAAAAACATAGACATAATGAGAGTTATTTCAAAACATGTTTGGTTAATGTTGATTAAAAGGCGTTCATAAACTTGTGAAGCGACCCTGTGGACATGTGTTTAAGCACTTTTGATCTCAATTTAATTTCAATTTTTTTCACCGAATGTCAGTTTTTCTTGCAAATGCATGTTATTGCATTTTCATACGCCAATTTTGTTTTATGTGCATCCGTTTTTGAAAACATGCAAGAAAACCAAATACGTAATAAAGCGAACTATACATGTGTATTGATCAACGATTTCTGAATAACGCTCTAAACACTCACAAATTATAAGACCTTACATATGAAACAAAACATGTTTAAGAAACATATGTTGTTTTTTTTCAAAATCGATTTAACATAATGGTATTTCCCTTATTAATGAGTATGACTTAAAGAGCTTACAACTGTTTCTTCCATGAAGTTTGTACACAATAACCAACATGTTCTAATAGGTCTGCCATTTATCATGATGTATAGCTTTAATGTGTAGTGCTTTCTCTCAAAGTATTTAATTGACTACGATATATAACTAATAAGCAAGTACTAAGCAATAAATAAACAATATTTATCATTAGACAGTGGGGTCTACATTATGCTCAAGATTTTGCTGTAATACAGGGGAAACAGTCAACATTCTACAACAGTTTATCATCTGCTGTGCCAGTCAATGTAGGCCGATAATATTAAATGATTGCTTTTATCAATTTTGATATAATCATACCCATGTTGATACCTTGTAATTTACAATCAGCGTTAATTATGATAAACTTATTTCGAATTCGATTTAAGTACCAAGGAAAATAATATCTGACCATAATTATGCTATGTTCCCCATTAAGAATTTTGAAAATTAATTTCAAAAAGATACCAAAAGAAATAGGAGAACTTGGCAATTTACAAGATAAATGATTTTAAGGGATCCTGCTCACAACCAGTACGTTAAAACAATCTCAAGCGAGCATGGCAAATTAATAATAATTGATTCAAGTATGAAGATATCTCACAAAATTTGGGAATACAGGTCAATTATGATTGCCAAAAATAAACATTCACATGTACATATTAAATGAGGTATATAATGATTTATAGTTTCAGCCAATCAGCGGTAAAAGTAGATATAAATAGCTCGCCACTCTGGTAATAAAAATGATGACGTCACAATATACAAGTTAAAATATGTTAGATCTAAATAGTAAATGAGCACGTAAATAGTAAATGAGCACGAAACAAAAAAGGCAATGGCCACTGTGGTAAAAAAAGCAATGCCACTGTGGGGTAGTTGTCTACATGTTTAGTATACTGTTTCGAGTCCCTGCTGCTGCGTGCCGAAATTAAGTGTGATTTTTCTGTGTATTATTTATCACCCATGACTTTCTATCAGACAGACCAAAATCAACTACATCGGAATCGTTCTATTTTATTCGTATATTTTTGACAACGTTGAAAAAAATGCCTTGGGATTTAAAAATGCAATATGCAAGAAATGACTCATCACCTTTAATTTTTATGCATTAATATAACGTAAT